CCTCCCTCCTCCCTCCTCCCTCCTCCCTTCTCCCTTCTCCCTCCTCCCTTTCTTGGTGGAGTCTTGCTCTGTTGCCCAGGCTGGAGTGCGGTGGTGTTATCTTGGCTCACTGCAACCTCTGCTTCCCTGTGTGTAAGCAATTTTCTGCCTCAGCCTCCTGAGTAGCTGGGACTATAGGTACCCACCACCATGCCAGGCTAACTTTTTTTTTTTTTTTTTTGGTATTTTTAGTAGAGACAGGATTTCACCATCTTGGCCAGGCTGGTCTTGAACTCCTGACCTCATGATCCACCCGCCTCAGCCTCCCAAAGTGCCGGGATTACAGGCATGAGCCACTGCACCTGGCCTCTTTCGTTTTTCAAAAAAATTTTTTATCTTGAGGTAATTATAAATTCACATGTAGTTGTAAGAAATAACATAGATCCCATGTATCTTTTTACCTAGTTTTCCCCATTGGTAACATTTTGCAAAACTTGAGTACAACATCACAACCAGATAGTGGCATTGCTGTAGTCAAGATACAGAACATTTCCATCCCCACAAGAATTCGTCTTGTTGCCCTTTTATAGTTGCACACACTTCCTCCCACTCCCATCCCTTAACCCCTTGGCAACCATGAATCTTTCCCCTGTTCTTTTAATTTTGTCATCTTCAGAATGTTATAAATGAATCATACCATAGGTAACCTTTTGGGATTGACTCTCTTCACTAAGCGTAGTTCATTGGAGAGTCATCCAGGTTGCTGCATGTATTGGTAGTTTATTCCTTATTGCTGAGTATATCCATGGTATGGATATATCATCAGTTTAGCCTTTACCTGTCAAAGAACAACTGGATTGCTTCTGGATATTAGGAATAAAGCTGCTACAAACATTGCGTATACAATGTGTGAACATAGGCGTTTATTCCAGAGAAATAAAAACATATGAGTGCAATTAATGGGTCATATAGTAGTTGCATGCTTAGTTTTTGAAGAAACTGCCATTTTATGTTCCCATCAGCAATGTATGAGCGATTCAGCTTTTCCACATACTTATCAGTCTTTGGTGTCATAATTTTTTATTTCTGCCATTCTGATAGGTGTGTAGGATATCTCATCCTGGTTTTAATTTACATGTCCCTCATGGCTAGCGATGTTGAACATCTTGTGCTCATTTGGAATCTGCATATCCTCTTTGATGAAATATCTGTGTAAGTCTTCTGGGCATTTTCTAATTGAGTGTGTTATTTTTCCTCTGAGTTTTGAGAGTACTTGATATATTCTAGACAGTGGTCCCTTTGTCAGATGTGTCATTTGAAACTATTTTCTTCAGTTTGTACCTTGTACTTTAAAATTTTCTTCATTTTTAATTATCATGGATACACAATAGTTATATTTGCGGAGTATGTGTGATGTTTTGATACAGGCATACGATGTGCTATAAATCATGGTAATTGGTGTATAAATCACCTCAAGCATTTAT